TTGCTTCTTACTGGCTTCTGCCTGCAAAGCTTAGATTTCAACTTTCTCAGATCTGCTCCATCAGTCACCACTCAGCCATTTGTTTTGTCAGTTTCCAGCATTTGTTGAGATCTCTTATCTGCCCCCATTTCTTCTTTCATACTTTTCAACTTTGTGGGTTTACATTTTATATTTCCTTAGTGCCATTTTAGAGGGGCTTGGTGGGAAGCAGCTGTAAAAGCATGTGTTCAATCTACCATGCTGTTTATAAATCCCATTTTAAAAAAATATTTTATTTATTTATTTGAGAGAGAGATAATGAGAACATGAGCAGGGGGGGGGTGAGGGAGAAGCAGGCTCCTCACTGAGCAGGGAGCCTCATGTGGGGCTTGATCTCAGGACCCTGGGATCACTGGCCAGAGCCACCTGCAGCGACGGTAGATGCTTAACTGACTAAGCCACCAGACACCCCTAAATCACACTTTTTAAAAGCAGAAAGTATGTGTATATTTGTAAGGAAAAAATATCTATGCCAGACTTATTAACAGAAATCATCTCTGGGAGTCGAGATTATGGTAGTTTTTATTTTCCTGCTTATGTTTCTCAAAGTCATCTATAATAAGATACCTAGTACCTAGGAAACAATTATTCAAGTAAAAATGTATTGTTATATATATATCAGTCAAGGTATTTTATATTAGTTTCAAATGCAAGAATTAGGTTGAGCCATATGAAATTGCTGTTTTTTTTTTTTTCAGGTAAAACAAAGGTTGAGTATTAGCAGTTCCATGTTGTTCCATCTAAAATATCTACTATAATACAGATCTTAGAAAAGAAATAGCCTAGGAAGTGGATTAACTGTTTAGAGAGGCCAGACTTAAAGCTAAGAGAGTGTAAACCATTTTTTATTGCTAGGGAACCCTCTCTTGGGGCTTGCCCCAGAGCCCTTGCCTGTACTGTACCCTAAGAGCCATTCCTTCCTGGGTCCCCAGGTTGAAGAGACTCATGAGCTAACCTGCTAATGTAGTTTTTAGGATCTGATGATTTGGGATATAACTGTCAAGAACACTATTATTTCCTACTTTTCTTCCTTATTGGTACTTCCAAAACACTTTGCATACTTTGTATTAGAGTTTCCTGGGCTTATGCCTTTTTTTCCCTCTTAGATTGTTAAATTCTTTGATGGTACGGAGCCTCATCTTAGTGATATTATGGACTATTTGGGGAAACATTGTTCACTGTATCACTCAGTGCCTTCTTTATTATAAAGATTTGTGGGAAAAAATTTTCCTAGGCAAATGGCTTGGTTTTATTTTAGGGACACAGAGTAATTATGCCAGATTTTATCACCCTTCTTTGCATTGGTTCAGAGGAAGCTCAGAGCCACACTTATGCTGTGGTTCTAAGCAGTGCCTTCTTGAAATCTCCACTTGGATGCATGTGTTCTGGTCTTTGTGTTGGTTTCTTATTGTTGCTGTAACAAAGTGCCACAAACTTAGTGTTTTAATACAACACAAATTTATATTCTATTCTAGTTCTGGAGGTCCAAAGTCTTAAATCAGTGTCATTGGGCTAAGATCCGGGTGTTGGCAGATGTTCCTTCTAGAAGCTCTCTAGGGGAGAATTCATTTCCTTGTCTTCATCTTTTTGTTGTTGTTGTTGTTAAAGATTTTATTTATTTATTTATTCATGAGAGACAGAGAGAGAGAGAGAGAGAGAGAGAGAGAGGCAGAGACACAGGCAGAGGGAGAAGCAGGCTCCATGCAGGGAACCTGACGTGGGACTTGATCCTGGGACTCTAGGATCATGCCCTGGGCTGAAGACAGGTGTTAAACCACCAAGCCACCCAGGGATTCCCCTTTGTCTTCATCTTTTGGAGGCTTATTACATTTTGGCTTGTGACTCCTCCCTCCCTTTTCTTTCTTTTTTTTTCTTTCTTTTTCAAGATTTTATTTATTTATTCATGAGAGATGCAGAGACATAGGCAGAAGGAGAAGCAGGCTCCCTGCAGGGAGCCTGTTGTGGGATTTGATCCCAGGACCCCAGGATCACGACCTGACCTGGAGGCAGATGCTCAACCACTGAGCCATCCAGGCCTCCCTCCTTTCTCCATTTTCAAAGCCAGCAGTGTAACATCTTCTCTCTTCCTGACCTCTGCTTTCAATTCTTACACCTTCTGTGTTTGACTCTGATCCTTTTGCTCTTCCATATAAAGACCTCTGTGATTACTTTGGGTTCTCCCTGATAATTCTGGATAACCTCCCCATCTCCAAATCCTGAACTTAGTCACATATGCATGGTGCTTTCCCACTCCCTGCCCTTAATAGAGTTTAGTTTGTAGAGCAGTTTTAACTTTACAGCAAAATTGAGCTGAGAGTATATAGGGAAGTTTTCCCATATGCCTTCTCCCCACCCCTACCCCCACCCCCGCATCTCCATGCATAGCCTCCTCTGCTTTCAACATCTGCACCAGAAATGGTAAATTTGTTATAACTGATGAACTACCCTGACACATCATCGTTACCCCAAGTCCAGGGTTTTCAGTGCAATTCCTTCTTGGTGTTGTCCATTCTGTGGATTTGGATAAATGTACAATGAATGGCATGTGTCCATCATTGTAGCAGCTTGCGGAGTATTTTCTCTACCCTAAAAATTCTCTGTGCTCTACCTATTCATCCTTCTTTCTCCCCAGCCCCTGACAACCACCAATCTTTTCACTGTCTCCATAGTTTTGCCTTTTCTAAAATGTCATATACCAGAATTACACAGTATGTGGTCTTTTCAAATGGACTTCTTTCACTTTGTAGTGTGCATTTAAGATTCCTCACTTCTTTTTAGTGTTGAGTAGTATTCCGTTGTCTGGATATACCATAGTTTATTTATCCATTCACCTATTAAAAAACATCTTGGGGGATCCCTGGGTGGCACAGCAGTTTGGCGCCTGCCTTTGGCCCAGGGCGCGATCCTGGAGACCCAGGATCGAATCCCACATTGGGCTCCCGGTGCATGGAGCCTGCTTCTCCCTCTGCCTATATCTCTGCCTCTCTCTCTCTCTCTCTGTGTGTAACTATCATAAATAAATAAAAATTTAAAAAAAATAAAAAATAAAAAAAATAAAAAACATCTTGGTTGCTTCCAACTTTTGGCAATTATAAATAAAGCTGCTAAAACCTCTGTGTGCAATGTACATAAATTTTCAGTGACTTTGGATAAATACCAAGGAAAGGGATTGCTGGATCATATAGTAAGAGTATATTTAGTTTTTTTTTTTTTTTAAAGATAGGTAGATAGAGGGATGCCTGGGTGGCTCAGCAGTTGAGCATCTGCCTTTGGCTCAGGTTGTGATCCTGGGGTCCTGGGATCGAGTCCCACATCGGGCTCCCTGCATGGAGCCTGTTTCTCGCTCTGCCTATGTCTCTTGCCTCTCTCTCTCTCTCTCTCTCTCTCTCTCTCTGTGTGTCTCTTATGAATAAATAAATAAAATCTTAAAAAAAAAAAAAGCTAGCTAGCTAGATAGATTGATTGATTTAGAGCACCAGTGAGGTGAGGGGTGGAGAAAGAGGGAGAACCTCAAGCAGACTCACTGTTGAGCACAGAGCCCAACATGGGGCTTGATTCCAGGAAGTTAAGATCATGACCTGAGCCGAAATCACGAACCAGAAGCCCAATCAACTGAGCCACCCAGGAGCCCTTGTGCTGCGCGCATTTTAAATATTGTCTTTACTCTGACTTCATTTTTTTTTTTTGCTTTTATTTTCCTTTCATTTTGATCCTCTTTTGGTTGTTCTGAGAGAGAAACACATAATCCCCAGGATCTACTCAGGGTTGGTAAAGTAGAGCTGGCTAGCTCTGTCTTTTTCTTTCACCTCCCCAGTTTGTAGTGTGTGTCATGGGTAAAAGAAGCATTTTCTACTAGTAGTATGTTGCCAGGGAATGTGGGGATTCATCCTAGAATGCCAGATAGGTCATGGACTGTGTAAAAGGAAAGCCAGAGAGCCCCTCTGGAGCCCTTCTGGATCCTTCTAGATCAAAGTTGCTCTGCACAGGGATGTGAACAGCTTATTTTCATTCACAGAGATCCTATACACACACAGGCAGAGTGCCTCCTTAGAGAGAGTAATATGATGCTAAATGATTTTTTTTCTCCCTCTGGTGAGGGCTGGACAGAAACAGATTGGGGCTTTGAATTCTAGGGAAAGACAAGGTTCAGAGCTCTTCTGTTTGCAGGAGGCGCTGAGGGCCCTTGGGATGAGCAGGGCCTGTGTGTGTATAGGATCCTCAGGAAGGAGACGAGCAGTAGGGGGTGTCTGGGGAGACAGCAGACCTTGGCTCTTTCCTTTTCTCTGGATCTCTGACCCTTGAGTGAGCGGCACACAGAGCATCTCCCTTCACTCTGGTACGGTTGTCATATTCCCTGGCACAGTGCCTTTGGCCTTCCATCTGGGGTTAGAAGATAGCGGAAGGATTTGGGTTCTTGACTGTGTCCGGAAAGCCTGTTTTGGCAAGTTTGCCGATTCTCCCTAGGACCTCTTTTCCTATAGGTGCCACATGCCATGATTTATACACAAACATGATTTGCCTGATTGTTGCAGTCTGGGCCTGGAACAATTTTAATTAATGGGAAAATGGTCCTCAAAACAGTGATTAGACCTCTTCAGGTACAACAAGATAAAAGCCTGATAATTTGGATGGAGTACTCTTCTTAAACATCTATTCTATGCACAGCAGCCAATGGGAAAGCCAGGCTCTCTCCCACCTGATCCAATGAGTAATTAAGAGAAGGCTTTTTCTTCCTACCTCTCCCCTCCCTCCCCCTCCCCTCTAAAGCTTAACAGGTTGGTGGTATAATTTGGAGACTTTAAGGGGTGTCATGCTAGGAGCTTAGGCAAGAGCCAGGGCATCTTCTCTCCAGCTCCCCAGGCACTGCCCAGCTGGGTCTAAAAAGCAGGCAAGTGAGAGGAGGAAGGAGGTGGTAGCAGGCGAGCTAGGGAACGCTTCTCCGCCAAGTTTGAGTGGGGCCTATGGCCATGAGCGAGCTGGGCATCCAGAAGACCAGTGATGGTACTGTTTCCCGCCTGCTCAATGTGGTAGAAAGTGAGCTTCAGGCAGGGAGGGAAAAAGGCGACCCTACCGAGAAGCAACTTCAGATCATCCTGGAGGATGCGCCTCTCTGGCAGAGATTCAAGGAAGTCACTAATGAAATGATCGTGACCAAGAACGGCAGGTGAGTTTCTCTGCGGCCCTGCTTGGGCTGGCAGGGCTCCGCAAGGGAGGCGAGCCCCTGAATATTGAAGAGGTTGCCCTTCTTCACTCAGAGGCAGGGGGGCTGATTAAAATGCTCATGAGAAGGACAGTCTCACTCGGCTTTCCCCCAGCCAACTTAATTAATTTCCCGAGATCAGCAGAGAAGTAGAGGATGAAGCCCCCTTGCCTGCATTTTCAATGGGGAAATTCTGGGAAGTTACCATAAATGGGGGGCATGCCCTGAGTTAGGAAAATGAGTCCAAAGATGATAATATTTTTTGACTGCCTGCATATCTTGGAGCAGACCTGAGCTCCAACTCAGTTCAGATAAGGCGAAAGTCAACTTTATTTGGAAGCTGTGGATGTTTTCTCTTAAGTATAGCAAACTTGCCAGAAATCCTGGGCTAGCTGAAGATGGGAGCCAAAGGGCAAATTTAATCTCATTGCCAATTACTACATCTGCTTAACTGGTGTGTGTTTGTGGTGAGTGTTCATTGGAGATTGTGTATGTTTGTGACGATGTGAGAACCTGTGCAGTAATAATACCATAATGAAGCCATAATACACTGCTCGAGAAAAGATACCTTCTTTTTTCTCATCGCAACAAATTAGAGATGAACGGAAACTAATCTCTGTTGGCATTTCTTGGATTCTATTAAATCCAGCCCTGCTAAGTGGCTCTCAAGGTAATAGTGGGAGCTTCCACTGGAGGAAATGCAAATATTTTGAAAGAAAATCTCTGCTCCCAGCTTGGCCAGACTGGTTCCCAATATTGGGCTGATGCCCACAGATCCTTTGGCTCACAAGGTTACAACGCATATAAGTCAGAAGGCATTTTCAGTATGGTAGTGTCAGCAGGACTCCAGTGGTGGCCTCTAGGAGAAATTCTGCTAACAGAAAAGTTGAGGACTTCTGGTGGGCTTTTGTCCTTGTGCAGAATGCTCCTGGTCTTGATATCTGTCTTGTTCTCCTATTTTTTTTTCTTTTTTCTTTTGTTCTCCTATTTTTGAATAAAATGCACAGTGTAGAAAATGAACCATGCCTTGCCTCTTTGGGAGAATGATGAGCTCCAGCTCTGTTGCATGGTGTTAAAGTGCTTTATAAGGGGAAAGTGTACCAGAAATAAGGGCATTTCAATAAATTGTGATTATTCACAGTAGAAGGAATACCAAACTTACTTGGAATACCAACAAAACAAGCTTGATATTTATATTTTCTGTCTCTAAATGGGTTCCCTACTTATTTCATGTATAGGATTTGTTACTTTTAATATTTGCGATTGTAATTACGCCAGTTCCTGCTCTTGAGCTGTAATTTATACATTACTTTTGTTAGAAAGAAATATAAAAATCCGTTTTTAATTTCAAAGAATCACCCCAAATTTCTAACTGGATTTCTTTTCTTTCCTTTCAAAGCTGAATGGTGATGCAAGTGTAAGAATTTTATGACATCCAGTAATAGATGGAACTTACTGTTTATTATTCTTTGTACTTAGTGGATGGTAGTTGTGCTATTTAGCCTTACACTATCTATTTGACTGTCCAGGTGGCCATCTATGAAAGTAAAATGAGCACAGTCACCAAATAAAAATGCGGTTCATCTGTCCCAATGAGGAATACATAAAATTTCTGAAACCATTTAAAATTCAATTTAATAATATGACATATTGGCATGTACTTTACAATTTAGGAAGAGCTTTCTCTTGCCTGTGTTCACCTATATAATTCTTTTCTGTGTATTTAAAATGTAAAATTCTTCCCATGATTAACGCCTTTTAATATTAAATATGTAAACAATATTCTTTGTAGAAAAGTCTCGTTACGATCAATTTGGTTATTCTTCTCTGTGGAGGTCCTGCAGCCATTTCCCTTCTCCAGTGAACTGAATCTTTTCTCAGGTTCTCGTAAGGTCTCTGAACCTCTTGGGGTCACGATTTTGAGAGGAGAGAGAGGGTTCCCTTCACACCTCAGATAAAGAAGCGAAGACACATGACTAAGAAATTGATGTGGCTGATAATGAATGAGCTTGGCCTGGAATTACTTTCAATCTCTTATTTTCGCAGATTAGATTGTTAGCGACACCTTATTGTTCTTGATACAGAAAGGTCTTTCTTGCATCCTGCCCCGTCTTCTTCTCTTATGCATCTATTTCAGCATTCTCTTTTGTACCCCCTGTCCTCTGCCTACAGACCTAATACACCACTTCCAAGGGCTTCATCTCTGCCTCTCAGGTCAACTCCTGAGCCGGGGGCACTTGCCCCTCAGCCCCCTGTGGCCCTTCTTTGTGAAGATGAGTTCTCTGGTATTTAACACCCAACTCCAGCCCTTTTTTTCATTCACACGACCCACCAGCCCCTGAGGGCAGACTTTTAGATTTCTAGATTACCCCATCAGTGGCTTTCTGTCCACTGTAAGAGACTCTGAACTCTAGGAAACACACTGATGGTCGCTGGAGGGGAGGGCATGGAGGGGCCAGGGTAACTGAGTGATGGGCATTAAGGAGGGCACGTGATGTAATGAGCACTGAATGTGATATGCAACTGATGAATCACTGAACTCTGCCTCTGAGACTCATTATACACTCTAAATTAATTAATTAATTTTAAATAAAATAAAAAGAGAAAGTCTTAAAATAACATAGGATGGGCTGATGAAAGAATTCAGTCCCATTTTCAAATGGAGACCCATTTGTATATATGGATAGGAGGCTTGCCTCTGACATGAGTCAGAACTAGTAAAGAGAGGATATTCCCCTGGATTGTCCCCAGAAACTCAGATCCTGACGACCTTCATTCCTCCCTCCGTCCCTCCTGCCTCCCTCTCTCTCCCTTCTTTTTTCCTTCCCTCTTTTTAGATATAACTTTTAGTCTTATACATTCATTTGTCTGTCAGATATACCAACAGCAATGATAATACCTCCCTAGAGCTCATTTGAATCCTCTATAGTGTGTCCAGCTTGTGAGTCTTCTCTTTCCTCTCTGTCCTTTGAGTGAGGAACTTCTATTTCAGGTTGAAGGAAAAAAAAAAACGTATTTCAGGTTTCTGAGGTAAATATGTACAATCTCTTGCCCCTTTTGTTTTCCTTTCTAGAACACCTTCACTTTAGCGGAAAATGCTTTATTTCAGATGTATGTCCATTCAGTTAAATAATTTCAACTCAATTATGATTCGATTTGCCTTGAACAGGTTTTCAGAAATTGCACGCATTTCCAAATGTAACTGGTGCATCCATTTGTTGTAAAAAAATAAATGTTGGGAATCAGTAGGTTGAATTTTCCAGTGATTAAAGGGCAGCAAGCTGAGATCCTCACGGATCTTGCACGAGGGGAGAAAAAGGAGGTTGTGCATCAGGAAAATAGATTTTGATGCCTTTATAGTCCACATTTTTCTCCCAAGTTTACGATTAGGATTCATGAGGATTTGTGTTTGTGTTATCTGCCTCTAACCAGGCTGTTGTGGTTTCCCTGCTGCTACTCTGGAGGCTGCTCACCTTCACCTAAGCTTCAGTACACACAGGTGCATGTGCCACACACACACACACACACACACACACTCACACTCTCTCTCTCTCTCTCTCACACACACACACACACTCACTCAAATGCTCTGATGAGTATTTCATGAATATTATAATTCTGTGAGGAGATAGAGGAAGTGCTTACACATGCAAGTGAATTTTACCTTTGACCATCTCTGCTGTTCCTCCACCTACAAAAGCTGCCTCCTTTCTTACTGCAAACCCCACACCTCATAGCCTCCTTTGACTGGCTCTTGAGATGATCTATTAGGAAAATAGAAACTGAGAAAATGGCTTCTTGGCAAAGTCACCCGGAACTCACCAGCAAACCCAAGCATGTATGGCTCCTCAAGGATGGCTTTGAGGAGTGCTTACTCATCCTGCCATGTTTGCTTCCCTATTCCTCTCTCCCTCCTTCCTTCTTCCCCACCCCCCTCCTCTCTCTGTCCTCTTTCCCCCTACTCCTGAGTTAGGGACTGATTTATATGTTTCTCAGCTCCTCAAAGACACTGGGGCTTCTCTATGTTTAGCTATACCTTGAAAAGAAAAGGAGGCAAAGTTAACTTGATTGGAAGTGCAGTTCATCCTGGAAGACAAAGCCTGGGGGTAAGTGCTGGCCACAGATATATAGATAAATTATGCCCAGATAATGCATCCTGGTCATTGTGAAGTGAAAAAGAGGCGGGAGGTGAGTCACAGGAGCTGAGGCCAAGGCCAGGCACGATGAGTTCTATTCTCAGTTATGAGACTGGCAAGGTGACTGACTTTTAGTTATTCCTCACTGGGATAACAGAGGTTAAAAAAATACATAGCATCTCTTAGTTCATTCATTGAACTAAGAGATTGATTAAAAACAAAAGAATAAAAGTGTTTTTAAGATAATTTTAAAATTTGAGTCTATTGACACAATGTTGCATTAGTGTCAGGTATACAACATAGTGATTTGACAAATTTATATATTATGCTATGCCCACCACAAGTGTAGCTGTGTAAGAAAATAAAAATAACTATAAAATTCTTGGCAAATGAAGTACTAAAGAGAATAAAGCATTCTTTAACTTTTCACAAAGTTTTTTTTTTTTTAAGTAGATCCCACACCCAGTGTGGAGCCCAGTGTGGGGCTTGAACTCACAATCCAGAGATCATGACCTGAGTGGAGACCAAGGGTCTGACACTTAACCAACTTTTCAGATGTGTCCTTCTAAAAGCCAGGGCACTATGGCCTCTTTACTTTTTAAAAGAGCTTTATTGTGATAATTCACATACTATACAATTTAGGCATTGAAAGTATATAATTCAGGGGCACCTGGGTGGCTCAGTGGTTGAGCATTTGCCTTCGGCTCAGGGCTCAGGTCGTGATCCCAGGATCAAGTCCCATATGAGGCTCCCTGTGGGGAGCCTGCTTCTCCCTCTGCCTATGTCTCTGCCTCTCTCTCTGTGTGTGTCTCTCATGAATAAATAGAT